CACACACACACACACACACACACACACACACACACACTATATGTATGATTGTGTGTGTGTTTATTCATTCACTACTTCTGAGGACATCTCAGTACTGAAGAGCACCTGTCAATCAAAGTCCAGCCACTTGTGTCCATCAGTGTCTCACATCAGCACCTGGTGGACATTAGACAAATTGCAGGACTGTCAGACCTGTTAAAGTGTCTCTGTCTCTGTCTCTCTGTCTCTGTCTCCAGGTGGACGATGCCGCTGGTCAAACGGATTATTGAGCCCAGGTATCTGTGTCGCGGGACGCTGCCTGATGGGGTCGCCAGTGAGCTGGAGTGTGTCACCAACAGCACCCTGGCTGCTGTGATCAAACAGCTGGGAGGACTCAGTGAGTGATGATGTCATTACTGCAGCATCAAGTCTTACAGCAACACTGTGTAACAGTTACTGAGCAACAGCGCCCCCTGCAGCCACATGTGATTAACCCTGTCTGTCTCTGTGTGTCTGATGTGTTGAGCTCTGACTGTGTCATCCCACTGGATATTACCCATGATCCTCTACTTCCTCACCCAGAAGAGCTGCTGCTGTAACAAACTGTTCCGAGTTCTTCATGTTTTAAAGTTTCTGCTGAACACTGGAGATAAACTCTGGTTGTTAAGAACTGATCTCAGTTCAGCTTCACTCTTCCACTGGAGCTGATGGAGACTCTCAGTCACTTGTTCTCTCAGGAGATGAACCCACTCAGCAGAGAGAGAGAACAGACGCTCAGGGAGCGAAGGAGGAAACGTTCTCCACCTTCACACATCAGACTCACTTTGATCAGCTGCTGGTTTAAGGTGAAACATGTCACTGGGTTGTTGACAACATGAGGCTGTGTGTTGCTGCAGGTCGTCATGCGGAGGACATCTTCAGCGAGCTGTTCACGGAGGCCAACAGTTTCTACCTGAGGATGAACAGTCTGCAGGAGAGAGTGGACCTGCTGGCAGTGAGGGTCACTCAGCTGGACTCCACGGTGGAGGAGGGTGAGAACTGCTGCTGTTATCAGATCATCGCTCACGTAACTGAACTGAATGTTCCTCTGTGTGTGTGGAGATTCTCAGGGTATCAGACCTGTGGGTATCAGCTGTTGTCCAAACAATCAAAACACACGTAGGCTGGATGAGTAAAGTCCCTGTGAGAGTAAACATCTGTCTCATTTACCCTCTTAGCTGTCTGCCCTCCGTCCGTCACTGCTGTAACTGTCTGTGTTCAGTATCTCTGCAGGATATCAACATGAGGAAAGCCTTCAGGAGCAGTACCATCCAGGACCAGCAGGTGGTGTCACGGAGCTCCATCCTCAACCCGGTGCTGGAGATGTACCACCGCTGCGACAAACCCCCCCCCCTCAACATCCTCACACCCTACAGGTCAGATTAACCCCCCCACCCCCTCCCCCCTCAACACAGCGCACAGGTCAGGCTACATCCACACAGCTGCGTTTTTATTGATTGTGTGTGTGTGTGTGTGTGTGTGTGTGTGTGTGTGTGTGTGTGTAGGGATGATAAGAAAGATGGTCTGAAGTTCTACACTGATTCGTCTTATTTCTTCAACCTGTGGAAAGAAAAGATGCTTCAGGCGACAGAAAACAAACGAAAAGAGAAGAGACGTCAGAAGGTTTGTCTGTCTCTCTCTCTCTCTCTCTCTCTCTCT